ACTTTAGTGTCCAATTTAGTTAGAAAGTGTCTTAGTTTGTGTTTATAAGTGTTTTGTATTTTTTGAGTCTTTTGATTTGTTTTAGTGTTTTAATGTTTGTTTTACATTTTTGAGTCAGTTTCCAAGTGATTTAGTAATCCCTCCTAATCCCCGGTTTAGAACGATCCCTACTTATACTTATACTACAATTGACAAAAAGAGGGTTTAATTTGTGTGCGTATAAATCTCGCATCAGCGGATGCAAAGTTAAATTTGTAATTTAGGTCTAGTTTCAATAGATTTTGGTATCAGGTTGGACTAGAGTTTTTGGTATTAGGTTGGACTAAAGTTTCAAGTTTTTTTTTGTCTTATGAACTAATCCTTGCATATGCTTACTTTTTGGTGTGGTTATATATAGAGATATCTACACTGCCTTAACGTGGTCAAGGTGAAGTTTTATTTTCATAAATATCAAAATTTACGTTACAGGTGTACAACTAAAGATATCTAGCATCGAGTGTCTTAATATTAAAAGTTAGGTTTGTTCTAGGATCTCGCCATTTTCAACGTTTTTTAACCATATCGTATGCATATCTCCTTGAGATAAGGGCACCTGTATTGGACTGTAGCTTCCCTTGTATTCTTATTGGTACTTTATTGTTGTTGCAGTTTATTCAATTGCAATTACAGATTTACAAAACAGAACTTGGTTTGTGAAAAGAAGGTTTCATTCTCATCTATTTCTTTGTTCAGTTTTCATTTTATTAGTTTTCTTTTACTGCTGCACTCACATGCCTACACTACATGTATGCATCACTCCTATATAAAAATGCATTGAAAACACAAACTTGATGTCCCTTAAGTATAGACAAATGCTCCATCCATGCATCCCTTGAGCATACACTTGATGTCTCTTGATCTAGTTCAATTGATATCATAATTACTTCTTTTCCATCACCCTTAATAACAATGATATTACATGTATCATGTCCTCATTTTTTTTTAAAAGTTTGGATAGATATGGATCGAATGAAGCTTTTATTGGTCTTATTGTTAGAGATGTCTCATTTAGCGACAATTTGTATTTGTACGATTCTTGTGTTGCTGATGCTAAGGGCCAAACAAAGACATGTTGAACGACACACTTTGACTAATCATTCACTTGTTAGACGACAGATTAGTTTGTGTTATTTGAATGGTATAATAGGGAATACTAATATTGAATGTGTCAACGAATTGAGAATGGATAGAAGGACTTTCGGCATATTATGTGACTTACTTCGTCAAGATGGGAGGGTAAAAGATGATGGTTTGGTGTCTCTAGAGGAGTAGGTGTGTATGACTTTACAATTAGTAGCACATCAGACTAAGAATCGTAGTATTGGTGGTAGATTTTATAGGTCATGAGAGACTATAAGTAGGTATTTCAATAGTGTATTGCAAGGAATTATGCGATTACAAGGTCTCCTACTAAACGTCCCTCAGCCTGTGCGTATTGATTATACAGATCATAGGTGGCAGTGTTTTAAGGTATGTTGATAGTTTTCTTTTTCAATTTTCCCTAAGCTTTAACTAGAGATTCCCTTTATATAAATTCACAAAAGCTTATTTTTTGTTTAGAATTGCTTGGAGCATTAGATGGAAAGCACATTGATGTGCATGCACCTAAAGTTGACAAGCCTAGATATCGAACAAGAAAGGGTCGAGTCGTAACTAATGTGTTAAGTGTGTGTTCAAGGGATATGCAGTTCATATATGTGTTTTTAGGGTAGGAGGGCTCCACATCAGACTCTAAAGTGCTACATGATGCAATTACTAGGCCTAATGGTTTAAAAGTACCAACAAGTACGACTATTAGTTAGTCTCAAATTTGTAAGTTAGGTCGAGTTTTGTTTGTGAACTGCAAAATGCTAATAAGGTCTTTTTTAATTTTTTATTATTAGGTTATTATTACCTTGTAGATGGTGGTTATACAAATGGTGAAGGATTCCTTGCACCCTATAAAGGAATACTTTATCATTTATCTGAATGGGAGGGACAAACAACTTCCAATAAGGAAGAATATTTTAACATGAAGCATTCTAAGGCAAGGAATGTAATTGAACACTGTTTTAGCTCGCTAAAAGGAAGGTGGGCGATACTAAGGAGTCCATCTTTCCATCTGATAAGGACACAAGGTCGAATAATTACCACTTGTTGCCTATTACACAATCTTATTAGGCAAGAGATGTCTATAGATCCAATGGAGAATTTGCCAATAATAAAAATGGGTGAATATGTTGGCAGTGTTGGAACATCTTACCAGTGGACTGCAAAGAGGAATGCCATGGCTCAGGAAATGTATAATGAGTGGAGAGCAATTAGGAACCAGCAATTGAACTAGCACTATGTGTTAATGATAACATCTTATTTTAGTTTTCTTTTTTATCATGCATATGTTGGATATTATAAAATTATTAGATTGCTCATCATTAAATGTAATTTGATTTATTGATTGGATGGTATGCAAATTGATTAGATATTATGCAAATTGATTCTTTGTATTGTACTTTAGTACATTCAAATATTTTTTGTTTAGGTATAGATAACGACAATAATTTAAATGCTGCTCAAGAGCCAAAAGGAAGGAGGCATAAATGGGAAGCATTTGAGGAAGAAGCATTACTATCCGTTCTTGAGGATTTTGTTGCTCGGAGACAATGATGTGACACAGGTGCTTTCAAACAAGGTACTTTGATTGAAATAGCGAAAGTTGTCAATGTTTTATGTCTTAATTCAAATATAAAGGCAACTCCACATATTGAGTCAAAGTTAAAGAAATGGAAAAAAATATATAGTTTGGTCTTTGCAATGGTAAACATGACTGGATTTTCATGGAATGATGTCAAAAAGTGCATTGAAGTTGACAGTGATGACGCATGGCAAACTTATGTGCAAGTTCATATCCTATTTTATTTACAAATTAGTTATATTCTTGCAGCTATATTTGTTACGCATGCTGAATTTTAGTATTGTTATGTTGATATAATCTTAGAAAAATGAAGACGCCGATGGATGAAGAAGCAAACCTTTTCCACTGTATGATAGATTTGCATATATATTTGGAAAGGATTGGGCTACGGGTAATGTAGTCGAAACCCCTGCTGAAGTGTTGGAGGAACAAAGTCATAATCAAGTTGATTCAAGTGATATTGGAGCTGAAAATGATGTTTCTCCATGAACCAGCAAAGCCAACAAAGCAACCAATCTGGAAATAGCCAAAGAAGGAGAAAAAGAGCTATGGGAAGTTCAAGTGATGGAATCGAGGCAATTATCAATGGATTAAAAGAATTTTATGGTGAAAGTGGGAAAAGGATGCAAATGGTAACTGAAACTATAGTTCGAGGTATTACAGATTATAGTGACATAGGTAACGAACTTAAAGCAATGGGTTTTCCTCCTACGGATCAAATTGTTGGATTGACTCTTATTTTGGAAAAACCACAAAAAGTGGGACTGTTCAAGTCAATAGATTTAGAACTCAAGAAAGTGTTCGTCCATAGGCTTTTCAGCGACAAAGCAAGCGGATGATTATATTATGTGGTGCCTTTTGACATGGATGTATTTTGTTAATCGTACAATCTTAGGTTATGGCTTCTAACTTAGCCTTGCACTGTGAAATATTTTGGCTAATGTTAACTAGCATTTTGTAAATTATGGGGATCTACTTTAGAATGCTATACTATAGTTAACTAGCATTTTGTAAAATATCTTGGAGGAAAGTTTAATGAATGATGTTTTAGAGAGTTAGTCAATGGCAAAGATTGACTTGTGCAATGAAATGAAATGATGAAGTAATTGCTTCTCTTTTTCTTTTGCATATTGTTAATAGAGAATGTTGTATAATTACTAGTATATATATGTATTTATGCGCTTAATTAGACAAAACAATACACATGATTATTGTTATTACTAGCTTAGGAATGCATAAATTGTTCATGATCTCTTTCTTTTGCATATTGTTCCTAGTTTTCTTCAAACTAGTTGGAGCAAGTCAATTTACGTGCTAGGAATCCAAATGTAGCAATGATCAAAATGCGCAGCTATCCATTTTTCATTGTACCTCACATCATTGTGGTCTTGGGATTGAATGCAATTGTCATGGTATGGATTGAAATTGGCTTATACAAACAAAAGCAATTCCAATTAATTATTTCACAATTGAGTAAAAAACTGAACTTGTCATGCATCAATTTTTGTTCTACTCAAATACAAGTATAAACCAACACCTTTAACTTTAATCTACGACTTTAAACCAAAGATGAATAATTAAGAAAAGCATCCTGAACCCTGTCGATTGTTGGGAGATCACTTTGTTATATTGATGTTTGGAACAATGCTACTCTTGAATCATGTATGTTTCTTTTGTTGGCAAGAAAATTTGGTTTTTGTATTTTTATTGAGTCTCACTCTCATCCAATATTATTAATTTTAATAATATCTTTAATAAAAAAAACAATTAAAATAGAACAATAATGTAGTCCTCGTATGAGCAAACATCAAAATGGTGACAATATTGTTTTCATTATCCTGCTTCTTAGTCCGATATTGCATCAAACGCTTCACTAAGGTAGTGCAGTTTAGTCTATTCTAAGCTAGTCCAACTTAGTGTCTGAAGCTAGTTCAGTCCGAGACAGTCTGGTTCAACAAACACACAAATAGGATAATATATAATCCTAGAGAATATTCTAAGATATTCTTAGATACACTACATAACCACATTCCTAATCTAATAGGATTGCAACACATTTGTTTTTATTCTTATTTTTCTGTATTTTTGTTTGGCCAGTACACGTGGGGCCACCAGAGGGTAGCACCAGTCGATTGGAAAAAGAACCGCAGGTGATGGAGTCGAACCTGAGGGGAAGGACCCTCGTGTCCGCTACCACTATATTAATCCACACTCAAATTTCAGATCAGACGCCACCAAGCCAACAACTCTCTCCCTCTTTCTCGCTTCTCTCTTCCGTCGACGATATCTCCGTATTCCCAAACTACCCTTCTTCGCATTCGTCTCTCTCTCTGAACAAGCCCCAGCTTCCGTCATCGCGATGCTGAAGTTTACGCTGGCCACCGCCAGCCAGATTCGCTTTCTCCTCCAGGGCGTCAACGACGCCAACTCCGACTCCATTCTTCGAGAGGTCTCTCAGGTACTGTCCCCTCTGTTTTCCCTTTTGGGTTTGATTCGCCTTGTTTGCGTACTTAGTTCGAAGCCTAATTTTCTGTAATGTTTTGGTGTATTGTGGAATTAAGACGAACTTCATTTGCGTTTGTGGAGTTTAAGTTGCATTTCTGGAGTTTAGTAACAAATATCAGGAGAAATGGCGGAAAACATGATTGGAATATGGCTGTGTTGTTTAATTTGGATCACTCGGTGAGCGTAGCCTTTGATATTTTCGAAGGCGAGCCGCCGTAGTGTGGCTCTGTATGATGGTTGAATGCAGTGTGGAAACTGAAGAAACCTGTTTTTTTTTCTGTCGTCGTAAATTTGCGCAAAAGTTGATTTACAAACTGATGGGGCAGCTGGTGTTTCTCAAACTGACATGACATTGCCCCTTATCTGTCACATCGGTTTGTGCCAGTAAATTTATATTACTACACTTTGCAACCCCGGCAGTAAAGTTTTGTTTAAAAGTATGTTTATTGAGTGGGTTTCCGGACCATGACGAGTTGAATTAGAAGCGGGGAAGTTTAAGTAAGGGGAACATGCGAAACGTTGATACCTTTTTGGGTTTTGTGTTGTAAAATATTTGCGGATTGGATTTACATGATAAATTATCGTATTCATTCATTTCTCGGCCATGTATTGGGTTGTGGACGACGATTTTAAGGTAATGTCTTCAGCTAACAGCTTTAATATATGAAACCTGAACATTGTTTGGTTTTTTTGGTATAAGATATTTGTTTTTGTGGTTAAGTGAATGGTTGAAGCACACACTAAATTAGTACTTACTAGTTTTTCTTGAGATCTCTTTGCTTTATTTTTGAAGTACAGTTTGCAGCAGCTGTAGCTCTTATACATGGCCAATAGAAAGTTAGTGTTTATTTTGAAGCTGGAGGCGAAGGTTAAAAATTTGAGTAAATCTTTTGAAATCTTGAGTTATTAGATTATGATTTATTTCTAGGTCTGAACGTTTTTATGTTGCTGATAAACTAGTAGGCTGGAATAACAGTTTTTTGTATGGAGTTTATCAATCATGATTCTCACTGGATCTCTTGCTGATTTTGTCTGTGGTTTCATGGCAGTTTATTGAATATGGAATTGAGGGAAGCATTTTGCTGTTACAGGCCTGTCTGGATCATCTCACTAATTACAGAACAGAGTTAAAGAACGCAGCATTGGAGCGGGTTTTTGCCTCAATTTTCAAATCTCTCCTTGATAGACCTAATTTCTGTACGGTGTTTTGTCAGTCCCTAAGAAATACAGAGATTAGTGAAGGAATTCTTGAGAATATCTCTAATGCATTACACCTGTCTGTATCTGAGAAAACTGGCATTGCTCTTGCGTTGTCAGATTCTGAAAACCTAGACACCAGGATATGTGGTAAAGTCTTGGATAAACTGTGGATTGTTTGGCTGATGTATTTTTTCTCTACAAATTTCTGTTGCAGTGCCAGTATCTTTTCATTTGCAGCCTATTTAAACACAGAACTGATTACTTTTTGTTTCCAGGCAAGAGCTTCTGTATGGCTCAGATCCAGAAATTGTGTGAAAATCCTATTGTTTGGAATTCATCTGAGCAAATTCAGAACATTGTTATGTTCCTCCAGCGGTCTGAGGGCCTTTCCAAGCATGTCGATTCCTTTATGCAGATGTTATCTTTACTGCAGCTGAAAGATGACAGTTTTTCTGTTTTAACTCCATTGCTTTCAGATGAGCTCCGTGATGCCAATTTTTTGAGGTAGAGTTATTTTTCTGATTGTCTTTCTGTTACTTGTGTTTTTCTCTCTCTTTGTCATGCCAGAATGCATCCTGAACTCAATAGCATTTATCTTCTGTGCAGCAATGTGGATTTGTTGCATGAAAATGGAGAAAATAATTTTGATGCTATTTTATCTGAAATGGAGAAGGAAATCAGCATGGGAGATATAATGAAGGAATTAGGTTATGGATGCACAGTTGATTCATCTCAGTGCAGCGAGATTTTATCTCTTTTCTTACCTCTGACTGAGATTACTATTTCAAAAATCCTTGGCATGATTGCCTCTACTCATGTTGGTCTTGAGGACAATCAGAATACATTTTCAACGTTCCGGTTGGCGCTTGGTAACAGCACTTTATCCGATCTGCCTATGTTGAACACCTGGAATATTGATGTCCTTGTAGATACAATCAAGCAACTTGTAAGTTTACTTATTATATTCTTACACTTTGTAATTTTTCTTTCCTTTTCGTTTTTGAGTTGTGAGTCTTGTGAGGTGAAGGAAACTGCAACCCTTTTGTTTTCTAATATAGCATGCTTATTACAGGCTCCCGGCACTAACTGGATACAAGTTATTGAAAATTTGGATCATGAGGGATTCTACATTCCTAATCAGGAGGCTTTCTCTTTTTTCATGTCCGTGTATCAGCATGTGTGTGAGGTATGGTTTGCATTCTTGCATTTTTATAAGATCAGTAATTTGCAAATTGTGATGTTTCTGTCTATCAATCTGTGGTCTCGGGCTTGAGCTGTGCAGGATCCAATCCCCCTCCATGTTATCTGCGGGTCTGTTTGGAAGAATACCGAGGGTCAGTTATCCTTCCTTAAACATGCTATATCAGCACCACCTGAAGTGTTTACCTTTGCCCACTCTGTTAGGCAACTGGTATGAACTAATATTTATCCAGCAATTAACTTTTTTCTCTGTTCCCTCATGTTATATTTGTTTGACCTTTATGAATTGTCTATCATCCTTTCAGGCCTATATTGATGTAGTGCATGGCCATAAGCTTCAACTTGGACATGCAAATCATGCATGGTTGAGTCTTGACCTTTTGGATGTACTGTGTCTACTAGCTGAGAGGGGTCATGCTCTTGCTGTTCGATCAATGCTTGAATATCCTCTTAAACACTGTCCTGAAGTCCTGCTTCTTGGGATGGCACATACAAATGTACCACTCTGAATTTTTTTTTTTGTGCTTTGTTGTTTTAAACCACCGGTTTCTCCTAGAGCTTTTCTCTTATTACTTTACATTTGAAATTGCAGACTGTGTATAACCTGCTGCAATATGAAGTGTCTTATACTGTTTTCCCCATGATGGTAAAAAATGCAACGAGCAGTGGCATAATTAACCACCTCTGGCATATTAACACCTCATTGGTGCTGCGGGGATTAGTGGATGCTCACAATTGTGATCCAGATAACATAGCTAGAATATTGGATATCTGTCAAGAGCTAAAGGTAAGCTGCTTGCTCACCAGTTGTCTGTTGCACTTGTTTCTGCGTAATTGAGAAGTAATATGGATATGTAGTCCTTTTTTTCCTAATTTTAGTGGAATTGCCATTTACCCTGGTATGTCTTATTTGTTTTGTAGATTCTATCGTCTGTCCTAGAGATGATGCCTTCCTCTTTTAGTATCAGAATGGCAGCCCTTGCTTCCAGAAAAGAGCTTGTAGACCTTGAGAAGTGGTTGAGTAATAATTTGAATACGCATAAGGATATTTTCTTTGAGGTAATGTAACTCTTCTATAAAGTTTAGAAACAATAATATCAGAATCATGAATATAGCCGCTTTATAATGCAAATTTTCAGGAGTGCATAAAGTTCTTGAAGGAGATTCAATTCGGTGGGTCACAGGATTTCTCCACCAGACCTTTCCAACATTCTGGTGCCGTGTCTAATATTTATGTGGACACTGCTACTATATTCTTGAAGGTTTTACAACATGGCATGTGATTATGTTATCTTGGATGTTGCCTCATCATGTATCATGCATAATTTCATTATCTGTATTTAATTTTAGGTTCTTAAAGCTTATATTGGCTTGATTGCCTCTAGCCAACTTACTGATGAGTTGGAAAGGTTGTCTGTAACAATTATGGATTCTAATCCAAGGCTGCAGAATGGTGACCCTACAGAGTCAACCGATGGATATGCAGATGATATTGAAGCTGAAGCAAACTCTTACTTTCATCAAATGTTTTCTGGTCAGTTGACAATTGATTCAATGGTCCAAATGCTTGCCCGATTCAAGGAATCTTCTATAAAAAGGTATGTCTGTTAAAGCCTTTTCATCTGGTTACTTTAATAATATTTCCAACATGTTCTCTCATCTTTTTAAACGTTTACAGTACTATTATGGTGTCAGTCATAGTCAGGATGTACTTTGAAAAGAATCTAAATATGTATCAGTCAAAGAGTTAGGAATCATGTACTTCAAAAAGAATCTAAACATGTATCTTCTGAGTTTCTACTTTTATTTATTTATTATGTCTCAAGACTCTGAACCACCTTCAACTCAAACCCTTTGCTCACGTTTGAGAGGCTTACATGCTATACGGATGTAATATTATGTAAAAAGGTACATGTGAACTCAAACTTTTAACATGATGTAAAAGATTATAAAGGGATTACTTTAGAAGGGGTTGGTTTTATTTTGGCACTTGATATTCTCCTGTGTGTCAAGGGAAGGGATATAGACTCCATACTGGAATTTTCTGACACTAGTCTTTATACTATCTTTGAATTGAGATTTAATTAAGAAGCCCGTGCTGCATGAATTGACAGGGAACAGTCAATTTTTGAGTGCATGATTGCAAATCTGTTTGAAGAATATAGATTTTTCCCCAAGTATCCTGAAAGACAGCTCAAAATTGCCGCAGTTCTGTTTGGTGAGTTTTGTTCCAAGTTTTGCTGGCAATGACTTGCAGGTCCAAATCATATATCTAGCTTTGCCTTAGAACTTTTGTTTGTGTGTTGTAAAGAATAATGCAAAACAGAGTTCAGTAAAATAATTTTGGTTGAGACGAAGGATTATTTTTAGGTAGGCACATGCTTCTATATGTATATTTTTCTGGTATGTGGATGTATGAGAAGCAGTAAGAATAAACTATTTATATATATTTTATATCTTGTAGTTTTATATTTTGTGGTCTTGATGAGCATTATTTGGCATATTTATAGCATGCACTTTCATCCAAACAAACAAAGAAACAGAGCATGCACTTGTTAATAAATTAACTAGATGTGATTTTGGTTGTTTTATGCATTCTTGTGTATATGTGTGGAGAAAATCATAAGATCTGAGTTTGTTGGTAATTTGATGTTCTTTTCCGCTGTGCATTCCCTTATGTATTATTTATTTATATTTTATAAAATTGTTATGAATATGCTTCTTCTGTAGACCTTTTATTTTATTTTTATTTAATTATGTGTCTTAGTATGCTATTATTTGTTCTGGGGTATGCCTGTTTTGTACTTTACTTCAACTGTCAATGTTTGTAAGCAATTTTTCATAATCATATTTCAGGCTCTGTCATCAAACACCAGCTTGTAACTCATCTGACTCTTGGGATCGCTCTGCGTGGTGTTTTAGATGCATTGCGCAAGCCTGCGGATTCAAAAGTTTGTACTTTTTCTCATTGAATACTCATCATGTTTTCCTATTATGATTTGCTGATTGTCTCTGTACTTGCAGATGTTTGTGTTCGGAACTAAGGCCTTGGAGCAGTTTGTGGATCGTCTGATTGAGTGGCCTCAGTATTGTAATCATATTCTTCAAATATCCCATCTGCGGAGTACTCATTCAGAGCTTGTGGCTTTCATTGAACAGGCTCTTGCCAGGATTTCATTAGGCCATTTAGACTCAGATGGAAGTAACCATGCTTCCGCTGCTCATCACCATGGTCCCAGTCAAGGTACCCCAGGAAATGTAGAGGTAGGTGGTGTAGGCGGATTGGTAGAGCTACTCTATTGTTGTCTATTTCTTCTTATATGCTAAATCATTTTTGCAGTTAAATGGCTCTACCATCTTACATACTGGGCAACAACTTTCTTCACCACTCCAGCTTCAACAGAGACATGAAAGTTCTCTTGATGACCATCATAAAGCCTCAAATTCATCAAATGACATAAAGCCACCTTTATCTTCTGCTGTGCAACCTTCGGTTGGTCCTGTTGATGATCCTCCTAGTATTCAGAAGGCATGCTTGTTTTGTTTTTCTAAAAGGGGGGTTGGGACTAGATGCTATCAGCTCAGTATGTCATGAAATTTTGATTCCCTTACATTTTTTTTTTACTGAAACTTGCAGTCACAAAGTGCACTCAGTGCTCCAGTAATGTTGTCTTCTGCTTCCCCTGGTTTTGTTCGTCCTTCTCGAGGAGTTACTTCTACCAGTAATTTTCAACTTTATCTCCATGCCATTGATTTTTCATTAAATATTTATTATCTTGATGTATGTGACAATAACTATGCAATATGAATGCAGGGTTTGGCTCTGCTTTGAATATTGAAACATTAGTTGCTGCTGCCGAGAAAAGAGATACTCCCATCGAGGTATTGTGTTCCATCTTATAGGTCTCTAATTCCTGCAATTGTTGATGTCTGTTCTTCATTGTCACCTGCCTGGCGTGGATCATTGCAGTCAGATTCCTATTACTTAAGTGGAACGCAACTTCACTTGGTTGAATTGTTTTTTAGCTTCTATAGTAGTATCTGTTTGACAAAGCTTATTACCATACTTGTTTGATATTACTATATTTGGATAAGTGAACTTCTTACACCAGTATTCATATCAGCTCTTATGGACTGATTGGCCTATGTGGGACTCGAGTGGGATGGTATTTTGTTTTCCATACTGCAATTATCCATTCTTAATATTGTTATTGGTTTTCTTTTCTCTCGTTCTCCAGTTTGAATTTTCTTGCTTAATATTAGCTCTCATGAGCATGTGCCGATTGGCCTGTGTGCGTGATGTGAGTGGTATCTCTATTAGGCAATGGATCTGATTTGTGGGTCCAGTGTATCCTTTAACAAGATATTTTCAGCAATCACTGGATAAATCTGTATCTGATTTCTGGTTTAAAAAATTGGACTTCCTCTTTATTAACAAGGTGCTTCGCTTATTCACCCTTTGTTCCCTTGCATAAGTATTTGTGCTTTGCCCATCTTGACTTCGATGAACATCAAAGATGCTACTTACTGTACTCATATATATCTTTTGTTTATGACTTGACGGAGTATAGAACAGAGAGAGAGGTTTCTTTGTTTTCATTATCTCATATTTATTCTGCATAATCCTCCTATGTTTTTGAGAAGTTCTTAATTTTCTGAAGTTAATGTTATGTTAGAGTTTTGCAGTCTCTGGGTGAAGTATCCAGGCTGTCTATATTATAAGATTCTGAGTTTAATGCTTATGGGTGTTTTTTCTTGCACAGGCTCCAGCATCAGAGATTCAGGACAAGATATCATTTATAATTAATAATATTTCAGTTGCCAATGTTGAAGCTAAGTCAAAGGAGTTCGCTGAAATAATGAAAGAGCAGTACCATCCTTGGTTTGCACAGTATATGGTTATGAAAAGGTGAGACACTTTCTTGTGATATATAAAGATAATTTTAGTTTTTATTTTCCTTTTTTCTTTTTTGTACTTAGATTGTCTCTGCTTTGGTGATTATCCTAACTTGTGCATCAACCTAACCTCTTGGCAGGGCAAGCATTGAGCCGAATTTTCATGATTTGTACCTGAAATTTCTGGACAAAGTTAATTCTAAGGGGTTGAATAAGGAGATTGTTCAAGCCACTTACGAGAACTGCAAGGTTTTTTTTTTTTTTGTCTTTTCTTATTGTCTTTTCCTTTTGTGGTTGGTGCAAGGTTTCTTGTTTTACGTGTGTGCTATTTGCGCATTTGAGTATGGTTATGTGGCAGTATTATTTAATGCCTGCGTATTCTCTCAGGTTCTTCTTGGATCTGAGCTTATAAAATCAAGCTCAGAAGAGCGTTCATTGTTAAAAAATTTAGGCAGTTGGCTTGGGAAGCTTACAATTGGAAGGAATCAAGTCTTAAGGGCTCGGGAAATAGATCCCAAATCTTTGATTATAGAGGTAATAGTTTGATCAATGTTATTTTCCCTGACCTGTGGCATAAGACTTGTGCTACCTATTAAATGGTTATCATTTGGTTTATGCTAATGGATCCCTCCTTTACCTCCTCTCTGCAGGCATATGAAAAGGGGTTGATGATTGCAGTTATACCCTTTACTTCAAAGGTATAGTTATGGTTGTTTTGCTTTCTTTTTCTCTGAGCTAAGATGTATGAAGACCTTACGCTTTTGCTGCAGATTCTGGAGCCATGCCAAAGTAGCTTGGCATATCAGCCACCAAATCCTTGGACAATGGGTATTCTTGGATTACTTGCTGAGATATATTCAATGCCAAACTTGAAAATGAACCTGAAGTTTGATATTGAGGTATCGTTTGTTGTTTTTTTGTTTTGCTACTAGACAGCTTGACTTCTGTAGTATTGTTATACCATTTATGTTTATACCTTATTATTTTGGAATTGCAGGTTCTATTCAAGAATCTTGGTGTGGATTTGAAGGAGATAACTCCATGTTCTCTTCTCAAGGACCGGAACAGAGAACTTGAAGGGAATCCTGATTTCTCTAACAAAGATATTGGATCATCCCAACCACAGTTGGTTGCTGATGTGAAATCCGGAATGTTATCTCCACTAAATCAGGTTGAACTACCCGTTGAGGTTGCTCCATCTAATTCTGGAAGCCATACACATCTACTATCTCAGGTTTGTTTCCAATTGTTGAAGAATTCAAATCTTTTGGGTGATATCAGTTGTGGGACACATTTTCTTATTAGCTTGACATTTTGGTGCATTATCTATTTAGTATGCACCCCCTGTTCATATTTCAACTGGCACCTTAATTGAGGATGAAAAGCTGTTGCCTGATCAGATTCCTGCTCAAGGACTGTTACAAGCTACTCCATCCCAGTCACCATTCTCTGTTAGTCAGATGCAGTTCAACGTTTTGTTTTTGTTTGAGATGTTTGTGTGCGTGTGAGATGTTTTTGTTTGAGATGTTCTAGTTAGTTTTCGTCCCCTGATCCTCTTCTTGGCTGGATCTCTGGTATTTTGCAGGTTCCCACACCAATATCTAATATTGCAACTCACGTGGTTATTAACCCGAAACTCGGTGCTTTGGGATTGCACTTGCATTTTCAGAGGTTCTATGATACTCCTTTCTTACATATTATGTTACACAGTTCTTTGGTAGAATCACTTATTTTTCTTTTCACATATTGCAGGGTGGTTCCGATTGCAATGGACAGAGCTATCAAAGAGATAGTATCTGGTATCGTTCAGCGCAGTGTTTCTATAGCTACTCAGACAACTAAAGAACTTGTCTTAAAGGTAAGTTAACTCATATTTTGAGGTTTTAATTTTCCTTACTGATAGCCATTGTTTTATCTTTAATGCTGTATTATATTTAAAATTTTCTCATCTTCGTGTAATATTTCTTGTCCTGTATTGCTCTTTGATGACTCCGACTCTTTGCCCCCTTTGCATATTATAGCTTTTATGGCATCCCTTTCATCTAGTCCATCTTGTCATGCGTGCTTACTTGTATTGATATCCGTGTTGCGGTAGCACTTTTTATATGCTGATGTTTTAGTACCAAGTATATGTTTCTGTTCTGTAAAGAGTAGTGGGCCTAGTTTAATAACTTTCTTTTGTCTTCATTTGGGGTTGCTATTTTGTTCGCATTGCATTGCTCTTCATGCGTTAGTCTGTATAAATGGGGTTGAGGTCAGTTCAATCAAGAGTTGACATTGATGTTCATGTACCACTCCAATATGTCTCATACACCCATCAGGCTTGAATAGAACATTTAGAGGTGTTTTTGTTTCTTTCACTCGATTTTTTTTTCTTTATTGTTAAGATTAGTGTCACACTTCCTACATCAAAATTTCAATAAACGAACTCTTTGGGAAAACCTTACCTCACCTCTATGTTTCCATGTCATGTGAGGCACCAAGTTGTGAGAAAATTTGTGCTGTAAATGATTTTTATATGTTGGATGTCAAAAATAAGAATTGTAATGTAGATCTTATTCATCTCTCTTACCCTGCTCTATATTCATTCCTTGCATTGTTGCTATGGGTTGTGTTTGGGGTTACGTTTCTGTAGTGAGATTCGTGGGAAGGCTTGGTTTGGGTGCATGACTAAAAGTTCTACAGAATAGAAACTAATTCATCCACATCTCAATTACTTGTGGTGGCAGGATTATGCCATGGAATCCGATGAGACAAGAATATTATATGCAGCTCACTTGATGGTTGCAAGTTTGGCAGGAAGTCTAGCTCATGTAACTTGCAAGGTATTTCGTCTTACAGTAAATTTCTTGGGATTCTTTTGGTAAAATTTAGTGTGTATCCTACCTGTTTTATAGGTTATTTTTACCCATGTTATAAGTTGGGCACATTTGTAACACCTTTTGGCATTCTACGTCATGCTTCTTATATTCTTATACAAAGAACAATTCCTACTTTCCTATTATTTTTCTGACGATGTATTCTTCCCTGCTGTAAACTTCTTTGGTGGGCCCTTACTTTGGTGAATGACCTTTTATGTCCTGGTGTTCATCTTCGGTTTGCATTGTCTTGAAGCAGGAACCCTTGCGTACTTCAATATCAACTCAGCTGCGAAATTCCCTTCAGGGATCAAACATTCCAAATGATCATCTGGAACATGCTGTACAACTTGTTACTAATGACAATCTGGATCTTGGCTGTGCAATCATTGAACAGGCTGCTACTGATAAGGTCTGGTTTGATAAATGAATGCTTTATAAGATAAGTATATATGCTATGGAATTCCGTGTTATTGTTTGTTTAGTGTTGGCTTTGTATGTGATGATTTATTATGGTGGCAAGATGTCAAACCACTATTCAAATATTTTTCTGTTGCTCAGTATTGGGTTAATTTGTGTTTGAAAGCATTTCACACCACTCTCTGGGCCAATGGAAGGGAGAAATATTTTTAAGAATTATGGAAGTTTTCTTTGGGAATTATTAAAAAGTCAATTTAGATAAACATAGTAACTAATAATTTTATAATTAAACAAAATCGTTCATATTTACAAAAAAACGTGGAAATTGAAATATCCTTTTGTTAACTACTGTCTAATTGTTTGCAGGCGGTACAAACAATTGATGGAGAAATAACTCAACAACTGTCATTAAGAAGGAAGAGGGAAGGTGCAGGTACAACATTTTTTGATGCTAACATGTACACACAAAGTGGCAGTGTGCCCGAGTCCCTTCGCCCTAAACCTGGTCATTTGTCCATTTCTCAACAACGAGTTTATGAGGTAATCGCTATTTTTGTGAGTATAGTCTGGTGCTTATATGAATGGTTAGTAATTGTATTTCTTCTTACACCCCCTCTATCATGTAGGACTTTGTGCGGCTTCCCTGGCAAAACCAGTCTAGCCAGAATTCACATGTTCTTCCTGCTGGTACTGCGGCTCCATCTGCAAGTGCTGGTCTAAATGGCACATTTGGTTCAGCCTCGGTTCAACTTAACACAGGCTACTCAGCAGGTCCTGGAAGCAAGTTTGATGCTGTTTCTCGTCCACTGGATGAGGCGGTTGAACCCAATCCAGCTCTGCATCCAAGGTTTCTTTTTATTAGATTTTATATTTTGTTAGTTCTTTGGTTTATATACTTGGAAGTATTAATTGCTTGAATGTTTGTAATTTGGTGTGATATTTCAGTTCATCCTCTATTTGTGTTGGAGCGGGTGATGGTGTTTCCCAGCATAGTTCTGAGAATGATTCTGTCATTGGTTCATTTCTTTCTGCTGCTTCTGCCCCAGAGCTGCAGTCAGTAGAGTCATCTGATGCTATAAAGGTTGAAAGTTTTTATATGATTGTACAATGCATAAGTTGCATTTTTTGTTATTTTCTCATACTTGCATTTTGATTCTAGGAATCTGGAATTTCTTCACAGCCGCTACCTTCATCTACTGCAACTGAACGTCTGGCATGCAACATCTCAGAACCTTCTCTCAATACAAGGGATGCATTGGATAAATACCAGATTGTTTCACAGAAGGTTGAAAATCGCACCTATGTGGCTCCTTTCTTTCTCATATGCCTTTTCTTTGAGACCTGAACTTTCTGATATCTGTCTAGTTCTTATTTATGTAGGGAATGAATTCTTGATATATTCTTTATGGATGTCTTTTTGGTTCATTTTTTTATTTTGAGTGTTAATGAATTAATAAAAATGTATAACTTTTCTTAGCTTGACATAAGTTCTGTTTATATTTTCAGCTTGAAGATTTGGTAACCAACGATGCTAAAGAGTCAGAAATTCAGGTATCGTATACGTTCTTCCTTGTGTTATATACTGCCTCCAAATTGTGAACTTGAAAGATATTCTCAATATGCATCTAATTTGAACTAGATTGGTAGTATTTTCCTTTCTGTACTCGTACATACATTATACATATTTACATGTATGCATACATTGGCGTACATATTTCACACGAGTTGAGTGTTCTTTGACTTATATGTCTATCCAGGGAGTAATTGGTGAAGTTCCTGAGATTATACTCAGATGTGTTAGTCGAGATGAGGCTGCCTTGGCTGTGGCTCAAAAGGTCAGTGCTACCCTTCATGTGAAGCTTTATTTATTTGTTTGAATAGTTAATCACTGCAGTTAACTTGGATGCTCTTGGAGTTTTCTCTGTTGATGTCAAGAAATTGCTTTAATTAACCCTAGGAAGAAAATTTATCTCTCTGATAACCGATGCTTGTTTTTAATCTTGATACAGGTTTTCAAGGGTTTATACGAGAATGCATCGAACCATACTCACGTCAGTGCTCATATTGCAATGCTGACAGCTATTCGTGATGTTTGCAAGCTTGTTGTTAAGGAGCTCACCAGTTGGGTATGCGCTATTGTACTTGTGTTCTGAGATCACTATTGTTGACTGGAAAGCCTCTTATCTTCTTTTAAAACTGATCTATTTATTGTTTTATGTTTGGGATCATATTGGGTTACCATATTTTCTTGTTATAATTTGTTTGCCTTGATGATCTTTAAATATTTGGTCACATTTTATGTTTTCTAGTTGAGTGAAACTTTATAAATTTCTGAGTTTTCATTTGTAGGTACTATGAATATATAATTATGTCACCTTCATATTAGTTAGAAACTTACAAAATCGCTATAGATATTGTTCTGAGGCTTCTGGCCTTCATGTTTTCCCATTATAATCTGTTGGTTTGCAACTTCTTGCAGGTTATTTATTCTGATGAAGAGCGGAAGTTTAACAAAGATATTACCGTTGGCCTTATTCACAGTGAATTACTAAATCTTGCAGAGTACAATGTTCAAATGGCAAAACTCATTGATGGGGGCAGAAATAGTAAGTTAAATGGCTGTGTTGTATACTGAATCACTGATTACTAGAGTTTTAACTCACCAATTTCTTAAAATATGCAGAGCTTGCAACTGAGTTTTCAATTTCCCTTCTCCAATCTTTGGTGATTGAAGAATCTAAAGTTATATCAGAACTTCAAAATCTTGTTGACGCATTGGCAAAGGTTTGTGTAAAAGAAAAAATATATTGTTCGTGTTTATTTGAAGTACTGTCCGTTTACCTCTTCTGCTGATACACAGCTCGCTGCAAAGCCTGGATTTCCTGAGTCGCTACAGCAGCTGGTTGAAATGGTAAAGTATCCTGCTTCTATAGTGGGTGCTCCGTCTGCTATTAATGTAGGAAAAGAGGACAAGGGCAGAATATCTAAGGATAAAAAGGTCGGTGGAGATTTCTTTATTATCTGTGTATTTTTTCCAGCGGTAATTGATATTTTGCTTTGGTTGTAACAGGCTTCTGTTCACTCTCTGGTGAGCAGGGAAGACTTTAGTAATGTGGAGTCTGTCGAACCAGATCCTCCTGGATTCCGTGAGCAGGTATCTGTACACAATTATTTATATTCATAAGCCTCACTTTGTTAGATTATAAGGATATTAAATAGAAATATTAGTTGCAATGTATATTTACAGAAGAATGCCTGTTTTTGCATGTTTCTTGTATTATTATTTTAATTTTTTTTGTGGGAGTGGGAATGCTGTTCTCCTGTTGCTTTTTTCCTTTTACATAGTCTGTCACATTATTGCTTGATACATATTCTTGGGAGACTGAGCATTTGAAATTGAAAAGAGGGGGAGGATCTATATTTTAGGTGGATAAATGAATGAGATCTTAGATAATTTGTGAGTACAAATGGAGTTTTATCTGTATATGGAGTGGTACATACAATGTTTCTCTTAAGTGGTTGGACTTCTCTGGATATCTTGTAGGTGTCCATGCTGTTTGCAGAGTGGTACCGGATTTGTGAACTTCCTGGTGCAAACGATGCAGCTAATAACCATGTTATCTTGCAGCTGCATCAAAATGGTCTGCTAAAAGGGGATGATATGACGGACCGGTTTTTCCGTGTCCTCACAGTGAGTTCTCAATTCCTAAATTGGTTTGCTTTCAGAATGATACTTAGTGATATAAAACATATTTTCTTTTAATCCTTTTCAGGAGCTATCTGTTGCACATTGCCTATCTTCTGAGATGACAATTCCAGGGACACTGCAAACACCTCAACAAGTGCCGAATTTCTCCTTCCTTGCTATTGATATCTATGCTAAACTTGTTTTCTTAATTTTGAAGGTAATTATTCCTTTGTGAATATGTTTTATGCTCTTTATGATTCCTGGACCTAATTTTAACTATGGATTGTCTGTTGGTGCAGGGATCAAATAAACTATTTCTCTTGTCTAAGGTGAGCACAAAGTGATTTTTGGTTTGATTGAATCTTTTTTTCTATTAGTCAATAACTCTTGTGGCTGATTGTTTGATTCTTGGCAGATTTTAGCAGTCACAGTGAGATTCATTGAAAAGGATGCAGAGGAGAAAAAAGGATCTTTCAACCCAAGACCATATTTTAGATTGATTGTTAACTGGCTTCTAGACCTTGGTTCTTTGGATCCTGTGATTGATGGTGCTAACTTTCAGGTCTGGACCTCTGGGGTCTCTTTTGGCTTTGATTTGTCCTTTTTGCCTCTGTTGAATCACTAATGTTGGTTATCTATTTTGCAGATATTGACAGCATTTGCAAATGCATTTCATGCTTTGCAGCCCCTTAAGGTTCCTACATTCAGGTTAGCGTCAGTCATATTCTTTACTGTTTCTTCATTGGTAGGAAATGAAATGTGAGTTGTTATGATAAGGAATTGTAGCTTATATTGTTGAAGTGGTATATATATGTTTTTTGGTTTTGTGATTATGAACTTCTAGGCTGTTACTGATTATGATCAGTGTTTTAAAAAACTCTACCTCGGGCCGCGCCTAGGCGGCCTTGGAGGCGGGGCGGCAGCAATTTCACCTCTGTTTTCTAGGAGTGGGCGGAAACTCGCCTAGGCTTCGTCGGAGCGTGCCTGGGCACGCCTGAGGTGTTTGATTGGGCGTTCCCAGTACCCTTCAGCGACCCAAATCTTGCTTGAAATTTGAAGTTTTCTGGAAACCTGGTTCTGTTTCTGGGTTGCAGCAGCGTCTTCATGAAGAAGATGACCGCGCGAAGAAGAATGGTTGTTTTTTTATTTTTTTATTTTTTTTATGAAAAACTTGGCCTTAAACAACGCCATTTTAGCCAAGCCTTTTAATGTTTTTAATGACTTGGCGCAAAATGACGTTGTTTTGACCAAGTCTTTTTATTTTTTATTTTTTTATTTTTATTTTTTTTTAATATAAGAACATTTGGTCCCCATATATCAGCAACAAGCAACCCAATCACAGGAGTTCTCCTCCTCCTTCCCCACCCAATACCCAGTGCACGATTCTCTATATCACCCAATCCCTCACTTTAAATTCTCAATCCCAATCCTATATTTCAATTTTACTCCAATCTCATACCTCAATTTGTTTCAAAATTCTCCACACCACCAAGTAAGTATTTTAGTATTCTAATTTTAATTGGTCACTGATAGTTTGGCTACTTGTTTGATTGTTGAAGTTGATTAATTTGTTTTACAAGTATTGTATTATGTATATAAAATTTTAGGTCTGCCTCACGCCTAGGCGGGGCTATCCATGGAACGCCTCGCCTACGCCTTCGCCTTTTAATACATTGATTATGATTGGATGGCACTGTTGGAATTTTATTTAATTGGGGATTGGCCGTCGAGTTAATTTTGGACTGTCCCTTGTAACTAGTCCATGGGTGTCTCTTGTTGATCCGTATATAGAAATTGCAAAACTTTGTTATCTACCGTCTTTTCCTCAATTTTGGTTTCATAACTGAAAATAGGGTAAAATTATAAGATTAATATCGACTTTGTTTATTCACATTCTTGTTTGTATAGATAGCTGAGAATATGGTAAAATTGTACTACAATTACCTTATTCTCTTTGTTCTTTCCTCTATTGCTTGTGTAACATTCTTGTTTGTAAACATTTAGTTCAGTCGTGGTGTACACAAGTTAGATACGAGGATTTATGTAATAGACTTTGTGATCTTAATATTCCTTGGAACCGCGTGCATTCCAATTTTGAGATTTTTTTTTATCAGCTTTGCATGGCTTGAGTTGGTGAGTCATAGGAGTTTCATGCCAAAAATGCTTGCTGGAAATGGCCAGAAGGGTTGGCCCTATATCCAACGTTTGCTGGTACATTTGTTTCAATTCATGGAGCCATTTTTGAGGAATGCTGAACTTGGAGTCCCGGTCTGCCTCTTTTCTATGTTGGATTTCATTGTTTACAGCTTACTATCTGTCTCATAGGATTTTCTTATATTTTTATCTATGCAGGTTCATTTCCTGTATAAAGGCACACTTAGGGTGCTGCTAGTGCTGCTCCATGACTTTCCGGAGTTCCTTTGTGATTATCATTTTACGTTCTGTGATGTAATTCCTCCAAGCTGCATTCAAATGCGAAATATCATCCTCAGTGCGTTTCCCCGTAATATGAGGCTACCAGATCCATCTACTCCCAACTTAAAGGTGGCTGATGATCTTGCATATTTACTTTGTATTTTGTAACATTGTTAGGTTATGAAAACTGATCTGGTGGGGACTTGTCGGTATATATGGGACTTGTCGGTATATATGCAGATTGATTTACTTGCTGAAATCAGTCAGTCTCCACGTATTCTCTCTGAGGTTGATGCAGCTCTAAAAGTGAAGCAGATGAAAGCTGATGTGGATGAATACCTCAAGGTATGCGGACTTTTTGGCAGGAATCTTATACTATTTCATTCTTCATCTGCTAATTTGGTTTGACATTCTTATGTGGACATTCTTGATTTGCCTTCTGGTGCCGCCTTTCTATTCTCTATTATAGATCTTTAATATTTAAAGAAATGTAAAATGAGTATGAAAGTGGAGGAAAAGTGAACATTAAACATGACCTAATAGCCATGTTGATTATTTGAATCCAGATCTAAATGCCCACTTAACCAACCTGTCTGTCACACCCCAGACTCAGAGTTGGTGGAAAAATAACCCTGCGCTGGGTGCATGAGCTAAAAATTAAATAATGAATAAAAAAATAGAAACTGGGTGAAAAATAAATTCCTCTCATAAAAGAATCAAGAATCTTTACAGAGACAAAATAAATAAACAAATTCTAGCCTTACATATAGTACAATCTCATCCCGCCTATCTTTTTCACTATCTAGTTCGTAAACCTGCACAACAATAGAGCAGTGAGCTTTAACAGCTTAGTAGGGACAAATTGACAATGCTAAATTAAGTATCATGGAATAATCTAATCAAACATGATAAATTACCTATAGCAATGCATGAATGCTCCCATTTTGTACTTGGACCACTTGATCATCCCAAATTTTCCCTTTTGTTAGTCTTCTGCCTAAACTCTTCGTCGTCAGTTTTCTAGATTACACCGTGGTTTTCCTGTTAAAATATTTTATCATGCTTAAACATTGTTTCAAAATACTTTGCAGACAAGGCAACAGGGTTCTTCATTTCTGACTGAACTGAAGCAAAAGTTGCTCCTTTTACCAAGCGAAGCTGCCTCAGCTGGTACCCGTTACAATGTACCCCTGATCAACTCCCTTGTGCTTTATGTTGGGATGCAGGTACTTTTTCTTATGCTGGATTTTGCTGTGAGATCCAACTGTTCTAATGCTTTTTTGTTTATCATCAGTACTTGTTATGTGGTATTGAAGCTTACATGTAATCCATTGCTTTCGATAAGGTGTTCACTCCTAAAAAATTCACTAATTGTTTGCAAGATTTCTTGATTTCCACATTCTAGTTAATTATGACTGTTGTGCTTCACAAAGTGGGAATAAGGATGAAGTGGGGACATATCCGATCTGAAGACCTTCATGACTATATCTGTAATAAGAGATGGTCTTGACTTGAGTAGAACGGACAGTTGGGTGCTTATATTTTGGGTTTCATTTTACAGGCTATCCAGCAGCTTCAGGCTAGAACGCCTCAAGCCCAATCTACCCAAACTGTTCCATTGGCTGTCTATTTGGTGGGTGCTGCTTTGGATATTTTTCAGACTCTGATAGTGGACCTAGATACTGAAGGGCGCTACCTTTTCCTAAATGCGATTGCGAACCAACTGCGATATCCAAACACCCATACCCATTACTTTTCCTTCATTGTTCTGTACTTGTTTGCCGATTCAAACCAGGTGAGACAACGTAGATGCTTCACATTTGATCTATGATAGTCGTCTATTCTTTTTGTTGATGGGAGAATTTATTTATTCTAACGCATGTTTTTGGAACATCGATTAAGATTGAGCTGCATCTTCTAACTGTCGACGTTTTTTTACTTCAGCATGAAATTATCCAGGAGCAAATCACAAGGGTATTGTTGGAACGTCTGATTGTTAACCGACCTCATCCATGGGGTCTTCTGATTACCTTCATTGAGCTTATCAAGGTAACTTCCTGTCCTTCCAAAACGATAAATCAAAAGAAAGTCAGTTTGGCAGTCTGCAAATTTATTCAAAATCGCTATTTAATTATTTTTCAGAATCCGAGATACCAGTTCTGGAACCGAGCATTCATCAGATGTGCACCGGAGATTGAAAAACTTTTCGAATCTGTGTCAAGGTCTTGCGGCGGTCCAAAACCTGTGGACGAAAGTATGGTCTCAGGTTGGGTATCAGAGAGTGCCCACTAATTATTTGCATGGCCGAAAGACAGGATTTGTATTTTTTGCGACCGTAATGAGCAGCAAGTTGCATCTGCATGTTTTAGGTGTTCAATCCCCATGCGATTGTATTTGCTTATTTTGTATTTTGTATTTTACCTAAATTGTAAATTGATTCCCCTCTATTAATTGCCAGCCATAGATCAGCAAAATTTCAGATTGAATGTTTCCAACATATGAGATCTCGTGATCATTTGTACAAACTAAATGTGGATCAACTTTTGGGTGTTCGGGGGTTTAGGAGTATTGGATCCAAGGTTGACAGTTCGGATGCGTTTAAGCAGGTTGGCCATGTAGGATTCTAGGGTTTGTCAGCGATGGTGTAGAGGGTTCCAAGTTGGTTTCGGTTTCTGAAGCTTGTGGACGAGGCAACCTCGTTTTTAGAAGACATGGGAGATATTTTTAGAGTGGTCTCCTATTGTATTGTTGTCCTGTGAGGTGCCCTTTTTTCCCTTTTCGGAAGTTTTATTCCACGTGGTTTTCTTCAGGAATTTTTTTTATTTAGGCCCACATCATTACCACACAACGCTCTGCTTGCAGCCTCTGTTTTTTTTTTTTTTTTTTAATTGTTTTTGTATATAGTTAGGGTTGTTGATTCTTGGCATCTTTATTATATTTGCCCCTTGATGGTAATCAGGCAACGTGTCTTTTTACACATGTAGCTTGAGTAACTAATATTTGTGTACAAATAACTGCCATCCTTTGTACTATTTTTTGCTGACTAATAAAGCAGTCTAATAATTTTTTTTAAGAGTTTAAAAATACCAATTAAAAATCTAATGGTATCAAATTAGGAATATCAGTAAGTCCATGGAAATTTAGTGGTATCTATTGGAACCAAATTTGCGCACAATAGCAAATGGTGGAGATGCACAAATCTGAGTAACTTGTAAAACAACAAACTACCGTGAGCAAGTCTCTGGCAAGAGGGGGAGGGGCAGGTGGAGGTGTGCCGACATAAGGGTTTAGGTTTAGGTTTTTGAATCTTGGCTCTGTTCGGTTTCTTTGTTCTACGGTTTTATACCCACCCCTACTTGCTAGTGATGGTCGGTTGGGAAAGTGAAAATATTGTTGAATACAACTCCATACTTATTACACTCCTGATGCGAGAATTATGCGCACACAAATTAAACCCTCTTTTTGTCAATTGTAGTGAAGTGTATAAGTAGGGATCGTTCTGGACCGGGGATTAGGAGGGATTGTTAATCACTTGGATTTGACTTAAAAACGTAAAAACACAATATAAAACACTATTTAATGCTCGAAGAAAGCAAAACTAAAAATAAGAAAGATTAAGACTAAGACTTCAACGAAATAGGGGGGAATTGGATTTGGACGAATTTAAACTAAAATGGATACTTGGAAACAAAACAAATTGTAAATATGGATTTGACGGAAATGAATGGATGGGAAGCTAGCTAAGGGGTTCATCTCTATACATGTTATACTTGCATACAAAACGATTTCTAATTGCTTTTCAATAAACCATGAATTCTCAACGCCCCGGGTTAATTAGGTCCGCTTAAATTAACCGTCAAGTTTTCCTTAAGTTAATGAATTGGATGATTGCATACGACAATCCAAAGCATTCCTCACAAGTTCCCTACATGAATTGCATAATAGAGATACAAGCAAGAATCATTAAGCAACATGAAAACTATAAGTGTTGACGAGGCATTCGTTACTATGATTGCATGAAACTTATGCCAAGAATTTGTTTAACGCGATTGTTTATAAGCAACCTCCACTACTTGTGAATATAAGTTCATAACTATTACGTGAAACTCACTTATATTCTAGCGTCATATTCATGCATAAAAATTAAGCGTTCATTCTTAATAAACATACATAAATAGGATATCAATCAAATAGTTAAACAAATTGAATTCACAACTTATGAAACGTAATTAAAAGTAATCAAATCATATTGCAAGCATAAACATATATTTCGAATCACCCCCTAGCTAAGGGGGGTTTAGTTCCTCATACTTACAAAACAAAGAGAATTGAAATTAAACATTGAAATCAAAGAAACGCCTAAACATTCCAACAACTCAAACTTGAATTGTATGAACGTTTAGGCACTCTTCTCTTCCTCGTTGTTGTAGCACAAGGTCTAAGGATAGGTTGTGTGATGGTGTGAAGTGTTTTGGAGGGATGGGAAGTGGTTGGATAGTGGCTGCAATGGAGGAGAAAAACTGCACAGAAATGGAAGGATATGCACGGCAAAGGTTTGGGAAATGGTGTGTTTGTGGTGTGTTGTGTATGAAATGAGGAATGAAATGAGATGCTTTGGTGAATGGAATGCAAGGGTATTTATAGGAGGAGTGGAGATGTGAATGGCTGTTTGTTTAAGGTGTTTGTGGCTGCAATGATGAAGAGTTGGAGCTGGAAATGAATGGGAAAGCTGGAAAGGTAGTTGAATTGCTCGGCACAAGTGTGAATGGTGCTGTTTTGTATGTGAATGCATGCTGGAATTGTATAAGGAAGCTGGAAAGGTAATGGGATTGCACGGCATATAATGGTTGTTGGTGTGTGAATGCATGTGTTGAATGATTAAAGTGCAAAGTGGGTGAATATGTAGCTGAAAATGCATGTGAATGCATGCTGGAATTGCATGTGAATGCATGCTGGAATGGGATTGGGATACACGGCAATGAGTGGTGTTTGGTGCTAGAAATGGATGTGGCTTCAATCTGAAAATGGGAGAGCATGTGCAAGGCAAGGATGTGAATGATTATGGAGGGGTGTGGCTGAAATAACATGTGGAAAGGTTGGAAAGTTGGAAAGGTGAGTGAAGGCCACGGCAATAGGATAGAATTGTGCTGAAAATGCATGTGAATGCATGCTGGAAATGCAATGTGCGTTAGGTGGAATGTAGGGGGAATAATGATGAAATGGGAAGTGGAAAGGGTATGAAATGCATGGCAAAAAGGGGTTAATGGTGCTGGAATTGTTGATGTGCACGGCAAAGGGTGAAGTGGATGTGAAATGGGCGTGCATGTGTGTGAATGTGATGAAAATGCATGTGATGCATGGCAAAGGGCTTTGTTTATGTGTTGGCATGGGAATTTCTGGTTCTAAGGCTTTGATTGATTGGGCTAGGCCCTTTGTTTTATGTTCTAAAGTGCACACAAAGCTTCAATTTTGTCCAACACTTTGGCTCCAAGCATAAGCTATCCATTCTTGGCCCAAAAATGCTCCAAAAGGCTCCAAAATGCACTTCTTTGCTCCTTTAGCCCTTAGAACCTGAAATCATATGAAAATGACTTAAAACACTTAAAGAACTAAGAAACAACAACATAAATGCACGAAAACAAGCTAAGTAAGTCACCTAAATATGCTCCTATCAACTCCATATTTGCTTTTTTAATTAAAATGTATCTTAATGCACCCCACATACTTTCCCATAATACCCTCACACCCGCACTCTTAACATAAACTTTAAGGTAAATTACATAAAACTACCTTAACTATAGGTTGAACCACACTATCATACTCATCTTTTAAAAATGACAATATTATACCTCATTTTTAGAATTTGTTGCAATATTATACCTCTGTTAGTTTGTCTATGAATTTCTCAATTAAATGCTGACTTGGCTTGATGCGGACACGTCAGAAATTTTTTTATTTTTTATTTTTTATTTTTTGGTAATTTGAATTTCAAATTTCCTGCCAAAAAATGTGATCTAACATTTTAATCACAAATTATCATCCTTGACCCCAAATTTGAAAAATCTCACCCAAAAATAATGATATAACCACAACAAAACTAGTGTATTCAAACACAAATTACTCATCATTTCCGAAGAAAAATATGAAATGGACCTGCTTAATTATCCAGAAATTCATAAACCTGTTAAAAAAACTAACTCCAACTAACATTACAAAACCTACTGAATTCATAAAAACCTGCTACATCATCAATTTAATTCACAAAATACCTATTGGATGCATAAAACCTGTTCTAACATTACAATTCCTTTACAAAAAACAACCATATGTGCAAAAAATTAGTGGTTGGATAGCTTGGTATTTTTGTGCTTGGTGCCTTTGGATGATTTAGTTATTGGTTTGCTTGGTCTTTCTCTGTTTGGTGCTGCTAGATGATTCAACTACTGGTTGTGATGCCTAAATCCAAAGTTCATTAAAACTATAAGAGACAAAGCAAGGTTTTTAACTAAATCCAAATGTTTTACAACTAAGAAAATGGTTAGTTTTTACCTTTGTTTTCCTTGTCCTCTTTCTAGGTGCAGCTTCAGCTAGATTTGTTGATGGTGACTGTCCTTGAGCAGATATGGATGCCTACAAAGCAATTTAAAGGATTAAGAGTCTGATTTGATATTAAAGGATTTAAAAAACCACATGAAGTAGAAAATGTTACTTGTTTGTCCCTTGGAGGAAGATATCTATGATGGGTTCTTGCATTATATGACCTTCCTTTTTGCATATGGTATCTTGACCATTCTCAATTATACCATTTTATTGCTTATCCATCTCATTTATATTTCTTTACTTTCATCATTACTCAGTGTACGATCCATTAGGTTCCAATTAGCGAGGCAGTGGACGATTGTTACTCTTAATGATCGATTGTGAATTGAAACTACATTTCAGTTCTCTCTTTGATGAAGATTAGTGTTTGCTATTCTTTAGGGCTTCCACAAACCATGAGTGACACCTAGCAGTATGTCATGGCTACCCTAGCTAAGTAGAAGTGGTTGGAGAACCTATGTTACAATTGCAATGCAATACGGTTCTTCTCTAATACAATACTCTTAATCACATTGTTTGAGTGATAGTTTGTTTCATGTTTACTGTCCAATGTGATACTTTTCTATATGATTCAATTGAATATAATTTGGAACCAACTTCCTAAGTCATATTCGTATGCTTTGGCCAAAGACTTTTGAATCATATCTCAAAGTATTCTCTCTCCATGTTAGAGATCCATTGTTGTGCATTCATATGCCTACATGACTAGATAGCTTAACCCCAACAATGTTGTGGACACTCTCGATGGAATGCCTTTGACATGATCAAAGATCAAGGACCTAACCATTAGACATCTATGATGCCTCAGGTCAAAGGACTACTTTGCATATTGCAACTTACGAGTTCTTACATGACATGTATGTTCGAACTTTCTTTTGATCGTAGTTCAGTGTACTC